ACTACATTATACGATAGTAAATAAAGTTCTGCTATTAATTTTAAAAGTATTTCTCGTGTCATTTTTTGATCAAACCCGATGTAAACAGGTTGCTTCCAATTTGAGAAAAGAAGGTTATTATTGCAACCATACACAGCACACCTAGTACTCAGTATTTTGTTCTTCACCTAACATAAAAATATAGCTTTAAATATTTAATGACTTATATTTAAATCATCTTACCTTATAAAAAATTTAGTCAAACAAAACAATTACAGAAATATTAAAATAAATCACTTCGTTAATCACGAAATTGGACGAATATTAAAAGCGAAAACTAAACACGTGCACACCCTGCTCTAGGTAAACAAAGAGGTCAGGACACGTGTGACGTCACTAACTTGGCATTCCTGGCTAACATTGTAGAATAGGGATCTGGCTATCCTTGTAGTATATAGTCCTTGAGCCCGATGTGCGTTTTTTCCCGATGTGCTTTTAATTCTTTTTGCCACTAAGAAGGTTGTTTTTCATACTTATTGAAGGGGTTTCCTAACCCTCAATGGTGCAGATAGAGCCTGACATATTCTGGATATATCGCTCATGGAGAAGTTGGCCTGGATTCGCCTGGATTCGATTGAATTGTTCGCCTGGATTCGATTCTGGATCTCCCAGAGCGGTAGGCTTATTGATTCGGCCGTCCGGTGTCTGATCAGTAAGCTTTAAAAGACCTTTTACTTTCCCGGCTGTTATGTATACATCAGTGGCGTGCGGTCCACGCAAGCTGTGGAAGCGCCGCTTCCCTTGTATTTTCTAAAATATAAATACATATTGTGCGATTGTCTTCATAAACAACTTCTTGTATCTTTTATGTATCTATTTTAGAATTAAAATAAATAAACTGTTTATTTTTGTCATTTCCAGTATTTGTTTATAATTTTTATGGAACACAACTTCCCTATCATCAAATGTCACCGCACGCTACTGGTATACATACTAATGGAATCGTGTCAAATTTGATCCTCGGAGTTTTTTTGCAAATCTCCACGTTTTGAGACTCCCGAAACCAAAAAAGTTAGAAAAAAAAAGACAAAAATTCCGTGGCTATGTATGTATGGTATGTGTGTGTTGGCGTCTATTTTGATTAATATCTCAGGATGGGGTGAAGATTAAGAAACGAAATTTGGCAAGGTTGCTTGTGTATAAGGAGCATTAATGTTATTAAATTTGGTAATGAAAAGGCGAGGAGGGGAGATAGAGGATGGTCACGTGTCATATCTCACGTGGGCTTGCACTTGATGAAGATTTTTCTTGTTAGCATTTATAGAGTTTTATAAAACTCATCTCTGCCCTCAAAATTAAGTTCTTTGCTATTTTATAAGAATTAAAAAATATATAAAGTTTTTATAACAAAAACTCATAATAGATGATGCCACATATAATTTTATTTATTTATTATGATTAATAATTAAAAAGTGATTTTAAAAATAAAATATAATAGCCGGGAAAGTTATGCAAATCATTTCTTTATTTTTTTATATTACCGATAGTAGCCAACCAGTGACGGAGTAGATAAAACCACTGAATACTGGTCGTGGGTTCGCGCATCGCCAACGGGCTGGCCATGTAGTGTTTTTTGGGTTTTCTTCACATTAGTAGCACTTAAATATGGATCACTTTTCCATAAAAGAACCTCCGGCAGCATTCAAAGTTTCTTCTCTCGGCAGATCATCCATGTGTTGAGTTACCATATACCAAAAAACCAAACCTACATTACCAATAATGGGATTTTAAGACCGGATGACCAAGGCATTTACGGTGTGAACCTAACGTTCTACGATATTCAGCATAGAATCTGGGCAGTCGAAATAACCCGAAGAAGTTTTCGGGAGAGGTTTGTCTTGTATATATCTATTTATTTATTTTTGGACAGGGCCATATAGTTCAGTTGATTTTTTTGACTAGTGAAGACTGATTGATATTTGATTGATCATTTGTTAACTTTTTCATTGTTTTAGAGAATATTTTTAATTTACTATATGATTTTATAATAAGGATACTTGTAACGTTAAACTATGTTTTTATGTAGGATAAAAAAAATAACGAACTTTGTTATATTTTTACCACTAATAATGTTACATTCGGCATGGTAATTGGCATGGTAATTTAGGTGTTAAAGAATAAGCTTAATTTATTTTATTTAAAAATTTTTATTAAACAGTTATAAAATACATCTGTGAATAATTCTTTTAGATAATTCTTCAATATATTTATTAAATACATTGAATACGAATATAGAAAATTGCGATTATAATACAAAAACCCAATAGATACAGATTTTCACTTTTCGAGGCCCCAAATATGTCGATAGTGCCGAATTTCCTACTAGGTACAGTACATGAGCCACGTGCCTAGAACATTCCGAAATTGGAAAATAATTAAAGAATTTACCGTTGCAATTTTATATCATAATAAATAATTGTATAACTACAATTAGACTTTGTTAGCTTATAATGTTATAAAATTATGTAGAGGAACTTCCATTCTTGGTACCTAAACCCATTTACGTGTAGAGGTCCCGGAAAGTCTTATTACCTAGGAATCTAGATTAGGCGCTCTCAAAGATGGAAAGAAGCCCAGCTACTTATTTTACTGAAACCTCCAAAAAATCGTTAAAAATTGTATTTTTAAATGATAAAATTTGATTTAAAAATAAATAAATGATTTTCTTAGCACACAAGAAATACAATGAATTGAAGAATTTGTAACGGATATTTTTGAGGCACCTGTGAATATGAAAAATGGGCCAAATTGCACTGCTAACCTCCTAGATCATGTATAATATCGTGTATACAGGCTTTATATCTTATAAAGTTATGTTAAAAAGGGTCTCATATCAAAACCACCATTGCTTCTGACATTTTATTTTAAGAACAAATGATAAATCAAATCAACATTTTGTCATGTTTTGCAGATATTTAAACACATATTTATATGATTATAAAATTAATATGTAATTTCATTTATATTATTAAATATATAAATTATTAACTGCTCTGCTGCAGAGGACATACTTTGGAAAGGCAGTTTTTTAAATCTTTTCTTGCATTTTATTTAAAATATTGATGTAATTAAGGGAATTTTTAGAATCGGCATTCAATTCTCTATTAATTAAACACAAGTTGATTCCAAACATTTTAGTCACAGCAGAAAGAAAGAGTTTGCTCTTTCTATGTTAATCATTTCGCCCTTCATAGAATAATTAAATATTATGTACAGTACATATTTGTTTTAACTGTATAAACTGTTAATGAATTAACATTTAAAATATAATCAAATTATTGATGAAACTTGCATTTATTTAAAAATACGAATTTTACAAGACGTTAATAACATGTTAAATTAGATGATAATTTTCCTAGAGATTATTTTAACACGAATTTAGAAACTTTCTTCATCGAATGCTTCATTATAAATTCCTCCTTCACTTTGTGATGTTAACCTTCCATTATTTTGGGAAAATTCTTTAGTTAACTTCATCATTGCTTCGTAATCGCCCATTTCGTTTCCTTCCCAACGAATTGTACTTTTTCTTCTCATTTCATCGATGACTGATTTTTTCCTATTTTCAAGGACTTTAAACGTTCCTCTTCTTTCACTTAATTTTCTTAGATTTTTTAATAAGGGAGAAGCTAAAAACAATTACAGGAATTATTTTATTTAAGTCTAAGCAAACTGTCCACAAGTTTTAAATTTAAAATCATAAAAATTACAGTAAAACCTGCGTAAATCGGAATCAAACGATAACAAATATATTTTCCGGTTTGGCAGGTTTGGTTTCCGTTTTGAAGAGATTTTCTTTAAACGTAGAAAATCGCTCTCGTTTAGACAGTTTCCGTTTTATTCAGGTTTTGTTTTGGACAGGTTTTACTGTATTTAATTTTATAATAGTTTAAATATACGAGCCTTAGCATGCTATATAATCTTTATATTAGTATAAGAAATTTAATGTAATTGATTCTTTGATTTTATAATTTAATTTCATGGACAAAATGAAGCGAAAGTTCAATAAACAAACAGTCAAGTAAGCAAATCAATGATATAAGCTGTTTCATATGAAACTAACTACATCATTGGTTTGCTTAGTTAGCTGCTTGTTTCTTGAACTCATCCTTATATCTATTTTCATTCTAATATCATATCACTTTTCTAATGTAATATAAAACTTAACTAAACTCAACTTACTTTCTGGTTTCTCAGATGATATAATGGTCATCCTTTTCCAAAATGCTGCATCTAATGTTTTTATATTTTGTTTCTTGCTTTTTCTGTTTTCTAAAGCAATAATAGTGTCTCTCTTTGTAACGTCCCTCTGTTTGCTTTCTTCTTTTATTTCGGTTTCATCACCATTGATACCATGCAATTGAGCGATTTCTCGAGCAATCTGGACGCCATTTTTATCAACATATGCTTCATCGCTGATATTTTCAAATTTTTTCAAACAGAAGCGAAGTTCTTCAGATGCTAATATATGAGTCATTGTACCCAAACGATGAAAGAGCATTCCAATAAATTGGATTATTAAAATAATAGCGAAGAAACTAACAAATACAATACCAATTGGATCGATTTCTAAAGAATGTTCTTGTATTCTCACTTGCCTAGAACTTACAACGTAGGTAATAGTATATTTCATGCCAATTGGCCATTTTAAATGTAAATCTTTCTTGTTTACTTGAAGAAGAAATACAACTAATATAAATATAGAATTCATCATTAAAAATGTGAATACAACTTTATTTCGAAGTTCATTGAGCTCAGAAGTCACTTTTTCTTCGCGAGCCTTGTTTTGTTCAATTGGATAAAGATATTTTCGTATGAGTTCGAACCAAAATTGAATTTCTGATTTGTTTAAGTTTACAACATTACAATGCTTTAAATCCTTATCTTCTATCCAATATGGATTAATTAAATCGTCTCTTTTTTCACCTATTTAAATAATTATAAATTACTATTCGAAAGATAAAACAGTAAAAAAAATATTAAGAATCTTCTTACCATAACATTTCTTATCGACTTTGACATCGAAATTATCATTCTCTTCAACATTTGATTCGATATTTTCTTCAGTTTCAAACACATCATCATCGCCATCTCTTTCTTCTTCTTCTTCTTCTTCTTCTTCTTCTTTTAATGATGATAAAACTTTTCGACCAAGACTCGATTTTCTGCGAAAAGCTGGATTTCTTGCTCTTTCTAATTTTGTTTCCACGTTTAATAATTGCGTGTTTATATAATCAAGCTGATCTGATATCTTTAGTAACTGATATTTTTCATCATTTACTTTTGGATAGGTGCAAAACATGCACTTAAAAAGATTTGATAGGCTGCAAGAGATGCCACCGTCTTCTTCTTGATTTTTGTTACCAAATCCAAAATTTGGAAGCCAACCAAAAGCTGATTTCTTTTTTATTTCTTTTATTTGAATGGCTTGTGCTTCGAGTTCAGTTTTTGTTTCCCTCTTTTTAATTTCTCTTGTACCCCAAGACACATTGTTTAAATTAATCAAAGAATATAAAATTAAAAAAAGATACATGGAAGGTACACTTAAAAAATACAAAACTCCATGAAAGAGGCAGAAGAATTCTTGAGGATGGAAAATGGCAGAGATAACAAAACTTGCAGTTAGTGCTATAAGGAAAATGGCTGAAGGAGAAGATGGTCCATCTTCCACTAGTTGAACTGCTGTTCCTACTAATACGGCCATCATCAGTAAAGCATATAATGCACTTAATATTTGAGCGACCAAAATCTATAAAATAGCAAATCGTATTTAAAATATCACTTATCTTACATTTTAATTTAAAAAAATGAAATAAAATTATATTACCTGAAAATCATTTTTCGTGAAGAAACATATAAGAATAAATAATGTTATAGGTATAAGGTTTGCTAGTAATGCTTCAATATTAGGAATCCTGAATGCTGCAACCATGGCACCAACTAACATAAGAAATATGGTACTAGGACCAAGAATACTTCCTATCATCAGCATTAGCTGATACATCATATAAGGTGTAGAAATGTTATTATTGATCGCAATTGTGTGCTTGTAACTAGCTAATAAATCCATAATGTTTGCCATTGTCGATGGTGCCCATCTTCGACGTTGGTTATAAAATTCTCCAAACCCTTCTGGACAATGAGTGTAAGCATCTGAAGCAGCACAATATTCGACTTTATAACCCCTTTGCAACAACAGAGTGCATAACCATCTGTCTTCGCCTAAATTACAAAATCGATATTAAAAATGTCAAAAATCTAAAGATTTTTAATAAAAGTTTTTTAATGTTCTACAACCTTGATCGTATTGAACATAATGCCTCGCTTCTTCCGACATGCTATTATATTTTCTCATCACATTATCATCCATAAGTGCTTTAGCTCGAAATAATGAGAAGCATCCAGGACTGCATAGAACACAACCTATCATATGTTCAGTTGCTTTTTGTAACCAATGACCAATAGCGTATTCAAACTTTTGATACCAGACCATAAGACCTTCAAAAATCAGAATTTAGTTATCTCTTTATCTAAAATAACGTTATGAAATTTTAAATTTACCTGATCCTACAGGATGGATTCTACCGCACGCAGCTCCAAGCACTGGATTCTTTTTCATTAAATCTACCAACAACTGAACGGCAAAGGGACGAAAGTTGATATCGCCATCAAGTGCTAGAATGTAAGTATTTTCGGCACGTTGACTCTTGCGATGTGAATCTATATTTAACTCCATAATGCCAGCACCCAATAAATAGTACATATACATAACCTGTTCGAAAAGTATAAATATAATTTTTAGTGTTTATAAATTCCAGAGAAAGTAGTGCACTCAAGTACATCAATCTACACGCGACTTAAATCAATAAACAGTATAAATATTCGTTAAAAAGCATGATTGTAATTTTAAAATCTTATTAGTATTATAGTGTTTAATTAATAAACGTTGATGATTTCGTATTGTACTATGCGCATTATATATAAATCAAAGTTATCGTTATATAAAAATGTAACATACTTGACTCCATCGTTTCTTATGTCGTATTTTTGATTTATCTTTCAAATGAACGATCAGTTTATTGCTTCCAGGCATCATCCAAACTAATCTCCCTCCGTAAGGAGTTGGAATTACTTTTGGTGGTAGTAACTGGACTTCACATTCATGTACCGTGCTACATAATATATAATATCGAATTATATAATTTCAAAACTTAAACTTATACAGAGAAATTAATAAATAAATAGATACAAGTGTATACAAATTAAAATATACAGGCTGTATGAAAATTCAGTCGTCTACATTTATGTATTTAAGATATAAACTGACGAAATTTTGCTATAGGTTAGGCCCACTTTAAACTATGAACATTCAAGTTTTTCTAGAAAAATGTTCAACATGGCTTCCACGAGTGATGTGGCATACATTTCGATCTATTCAATAGCCTTCATGCTTGTCAGATTTAATTAACACTCCTTGGTCGATCTGCCAAAGAAGAGTGCCTCCCAGAAGAATTTTCTACGATAAACTGACCCCTTATTTGTGTAGTAAATATTCAAAGAAAACTCAAAAAACACGCGCCCAGCTAATTGTCAGGCGTTAACCCATGACCTTCAGTAATTTTATCCACTCTAATCCGGCCACTGATAGGCACATTTAAGAAAAACTTGACAGTGCAAAACTTCAATATTGAAATTGCATCTTAATTTATATTCACCTGTATGCTCAGTTTTATAGTTTTTGATAGGCCTACTTACCTTGCAGCATTATCAATTTCTCTAATTAGCAATCGAACAAACTGATTAATAACCATATAATCTTCATTTTCTTCACTTTCTTCGAAAGCATCATCAAAAAATATATGAGCTACAAATTTAAAATGTGAATTAGACNGAATTTTTAAGAAATTTGCGGGATTTCCCGGGATAAAAAAAATTTCCCGGGATATTTCCCGGGTTAAAAAAAACCGGGATCCCGGAATCCCGTTTCAGAAACCCTAATACATACCACATACATGTTTAATGACGTATGCTATTTAATTAAAAATATCATCAAAGCCAAAAGAAATTTAAATCAACAAAGATAAAAAAAACCTTATTACAATTTTCTTTAACTCTTCCACCATAAGAGTAGGCACTAAAAAGACCTTTTCAGCAAGCATGTTATGAGTTTCACCAACCCAAACAATCAAAGCAATTCAAAACAAAAAACATTGATAATGTACAGTACCAATAATTTTTAGTGAATATTTCTACCACCTTAAATGGTTCAGGTTCTAGAACACAAACCAGGAGTGGAAAATATTTGTTCATTAAACATTCAAAGGTTTTTCTGTTTTGAGTTATATGAAGTTTATCTGGATTAATTTGGTTTTTGTTTATAGTATATAGGCTACAGGGCCATTGGGTGCCAAATTGGCAAAGATACTAACTAAAATGGTATCATTATGTTTATGTAAATATAAGTACAGTACATCAGCACTGTTCTTAGCTTTGCTTCAAGAGCAAAAATTATTGAAAATGTCCTAAACATACATCTCCCTTAAAAAAACAAATAATATAAGTTTTAATTATTATTATTCAAGTACTATCTTTAATTTGAATAAAATCTAACAAATTATAAATTAATTATAACAAAATTATTCAAACCATCTTTGCCTCATTCAGAACCACAGAAATATAAGTACAGTACAGTACATCGCTAAACAATGCTAACAGTTTTACCAGATGTCAAAAAAAGTCAAAAGAACAATGGTTTTTGTATTAGCTTTTGATTCGAAGTTTCTGTAGTGTGATAATTAGATATTACAGATCCATCATACTTTTTTAAAGGAGAGTCATTTTTATTGTTTTCAACAAAAATGCATTTTGGGCCATGCCTGTCATCAGTTTGTTTTGGTCGATGTCTACAATATTTTTCAAGAAAAAGAAGAGTACATTTAAAATTCTGTTATTGAGATATAAAATCTGGATTGGCTTGAAAATAAAAATGAATTGCACTATAAATTATATAAATGTATAAAATAATATATAAAAATTAAAACTTTGTATATTATTAAAACCAGAATGTAAAAATGAGTGTAAATAAAATAAAAACTAGTAAAACTGTAAAACACAAACACAGGACTACATCACACGTGACCTTTTGCAAGATATAGCCCCACACCCAAAAAATCAGCCTATCTGGAATTTTGAAGAAACTCAAAAATGGGGTAAAATTTTAAAGTTAAAAAAAATCCAGAAATTTCTCAAAACAATGCTGAAACTCAACTGTTTTCCAATTTACTAGCAACAACTAAAGTTCATAAAATATCAGAAACACCATAGCATTGACTACTAGTGCAGTGGTTTCCAAAGTGGGCAACAGCATGCAAAGTTTGGTTCACCAACAACCTTTTCTCTCCTCTGTTAAAATGAGTAAGAAACATTGATTTCCAGATGTAGCAAACAATGTAAGATACGAACACAGTGTGAGATTTACGGAGAAGTTTTTCTAATATTTCCAAGTCTTTCTCACACATGGAAAAATGGGTCACGTGGTTATAAGTTAACGAAACCAAGGGGGCAACGGCTCAAAAGTCTTTTGGAATCAGTATATCTATATACTACACTGTTATATCTCACAAAGGGTCACATGCAGACTGCCGGTTCCTTTCACTTTTCTTTTTACTTCTACGGGCACAGTCTACTGCTTCGATAAGGTCACAACCACCTAATTTAGAACTGCAGCCGACCCCATTACCTTCCAAATTTAACTTTTATTTATTTATTTACCTGTTATTTCGATAGACATGCGATTTAATATAAGGTTTATCCATTAATTTACATAGAATATGTCATTTTTAATTTATAAATTCCATTATCAGTGATGAAGAATGGAAATGAAATATGGTAAATATTTTAAATGATTTCTCAATGGAGAATGTAGAAATCATTTAAATATTGAATTCTTTTGTACAATTATTCGTCGTACACGTGTACATTTTTCAAATAATGCGGATTTTATCTCCTAATTCTAATATATTTGAAAGTAATTATAGAAATATTCCACGTTTTCTCGGTAGTTAATTATTATTCTTTTTAATAAATAATTAGATTTATATTCTAGATTTTTAATATTAATATTAATATTATAAATTTGAATAATTACTTATTGTTTTATAAATTTTTTGTCGACGTTTCATCTGGTCGTTTGATTTTGACTTGACATCTCGGCTGTTTCACTGTTGCTATTTAAATGCCAAATTGCAGATTCTTGAGTGACGAATATCGCCAGTTTAGAGCCAAAATTTTAATTTTTTTTTTGCGATATAAATTTAAAAACTTGTCAATATTTTTATCATATTATATATATATTAATTTATATTAATACATCTTTTTAAGTTTATAAAAAATTATTTAAATTTTGGACTTTCGGCAAAAAGGTTTTTTTTTTTTTAAATTATAACTTAGCCCGATGCAAGGACTTTAAACTACAAGGATGGCCAGATCCCGTATATTTGTTAGCATGACCTTGGATCTATGTGACGTCACAGCAAGTCTTCTACTTCAACATCACAGACCTTTCAAATAACAAAATACGATAAAATATTAAATCATTTCTTAATTAATTATTAAATTACTACTAAATGTAAACTACTGTAGAATTTTCGGATTTAATAAGTGTACTGTACGTCAATAAATTTACAAGTCTTTTGTCTAATATTTATTTAACAAATTAATGAGCTATACTTTTTAATATGTGATTATCTTACTTAACTTTTTAATTTTTTTTCGACAATCACCATTTTCAGAAGGCATTCTTTTCAATATTTTATAGTTTTCTTGTTTAAGATTTCTATAATTAATTCTTATTATAGTTCTTAATTTACAAAAATCTTTTATTAAAGTAAAAGGTAAAACTGTTTCCACTGACTAATTCTGTACAACTCCGGGGCCTTTTTTATACGATTCATCGTGATATATTTCGAAATATTTATTCCATTCTATAATTTTTGCTAGCCATTCATCAGTAGGTTTAATAAGCCCTCCATAAGATAAANGGATTCGCCTGGATTCGATTGAATTGTTCGCCTGGATTCGATTCTGGATCTCCCAGAGCGGTAGGCTTATTGATTCGGCCGTCCGGTGTCTGATCAGTAAGCTTTAAAAGACCTTTTACTTTCCCGGCTGTTATGTATACATCAGTGGCGTGCGGTCCACGCAAGCTGTGGAAGCGCCGCTTCCCTTGTATTTTCTAAAATATAAATACATATTGTGCGATTGTCTTCATAAACAACTTCTTGTATCTTTTATGTATCTATTTTAGAATTAAAATAAATAAACTGTTTATTTTTGTCATTTCCAGTATTTGTTTATAATTTTTATGGAACACAACTTCCCTATCATCAAATGTCACCGCACGCTACTGGTATACATACTAATGGAATCGTGTCAAATTTGATCCTCGGAGTTTTTTTGCAAATCTCCACGTTTTGAGACTCCCGAAACCAAAAAAGTTAGAAAAAAAAAGACAAAAATTCCGTGGCTATGTATGTATGGTATGTGTGTGTTGGCGTCTATTTTGATTAATATCTCAGGATGGGGTGAAGATTAAGAAACGAAATTTGGCAAGGTTGCTTGTGTATAAGGAGCATTAATGTTATTAAATTTGGTAATGAAAAGGCGAGGAGGGGAGATAGAGGATGGTCACGTGTCATATCTCACGTGGGCTTGCACTTGATGAAGATTTTTCTTGTTAGCATTTATAGAGTTTTATAAAACTCATCTCTGCCCTCAAAATTAAGTTCTTTGCTATTTTATAAGAATTAAAAAATATATAAAGTTTTTATAACAAAAACTCATAATAGATGATGCCACATATAATTTTATTTATTTATTATGATTAATAATTAAAAAGTGATTTTAAAAATAAAATATAATAGCCGGGAAAGTTATGCAAATCATTTCTTTATTTTTTTATATTACCGATAGTAGCCAACCAGTGACGGAGTAGATAAAACCACTGAATACTGGTCGTGGGTTCGCGCATCGCCAACGGGCTGGCCATGTAGTGTTTTTTGGGTTTTCTTCACATTAGTAGCACTTAAATATGGATCACTTTTCCATAAAAGAACCTCCGGCAGCATTCAAAGTTTCTTCTCTCGGCAGATCATCCATGTGTTGAGTTACCATATACCAAAAAACCAAACCTACATTACCAATAATGGGATTTTAAGACCGGATGACCAAGGCATTTACGGTGTGAACCTAACGTTCTACGATATTCAGCATAGAATCTGGGCAGTCGAAATAACCCGAAGAAGTTTTCGGGAGAGGTTTGTCTTGTATATATCTATTTATTTATTTTTGGACAGGGCCATATAGTTCAGTTGATTTTTTTGACTAGTGAAGACTGATTGATATTTGATTGATCATTTGTTAACTTTTTCATTGTTTTAGAGAATATTTTTAATTTACTATATGATTTTATAATAAGGATACTTGTAACGTTAAACTATGTTTTTATGTAGGATAAAAAAAATAACGAACTTTGTTATATTTTTACCACTAATAATGTTACATTCGGCATGGTAATTGGCATGGTAATTTAGGTGTTAAAGAATAAGCTTAATTTATTTTATTTAAAAATTTTTATTAAACAGTTATAAAATACATCTGTGAATAATTCTTTTAGATAATTCTTCAATATATTTATTAAATACATTGAATACGAATATAGAAAATTGCGATTATAATACAAAAACCCAATAGATACAGATTTTCACTTTTCGAGGCCCCAAATATGTCGATAGTGCCGAATTTCCTACTAGGTACAGTACATGAGCCACGTGCCTAGAACATTCCGAAATTGGAAAATAATTAAAGAATTTACCGTTGCAATTTTATATCATAATAAATAATTGTATAACTACAATTAGACTTTGTTAGCTTATAATGTTATAAAATTATGTAGAGGAACTTCCATTCTTGGTACCTAAACCCATTTACGTGTAGAGGTCCCGGAAAGTCTTATTACCTAGGAATCTAGATTAGGCGCTCTCAAAGATGGAAAGAAGCCCAGCTACTTATTTTACTGAAACCTCCAAAAAATCGTTAAAAATTGTATTTTTAAATGATAAAATTTGATTTAAAAATAAATAAATGATTTTCTTAGCACACAAGAAATACAATGAATTGAAGAATTTGTAACGGATATTTTTGAGGCACCTGTGAATATGAAAAATGGGCCAAATTGCACTGCTAACCTCCTAGATCATGTATAATATCGTGTATACAGGCTTTATATCTTATAAAGTTATGTTAAAAAGGGTCTCATATCAAAACCACCATTGCTTCTGACATTTTATTTTAAGAACAAATGATAAATCAAATCAACATTTTGTCATGTTTTGCAGATATTTAAACACATATTTATATGATTATAAAATTAATATGTAATTTCATTTATATTATTAAATATATAAATTATTAACTGCTCTGCTGCAGAGGACATACTTTGGAAAGGCAGTTTTTTAAATCTTTTCTTGCATTTTATTTAAAATATTGATGTAATTAAGGGAATTTTTAGAATCGGCATTCAATTCTCTATTAATTAAACACAAGTTGATTCCAAACATTTTAGTCACAGCAGAAAGAAAGAGTTTGCTCTTTCTATGTTAATCATTTCGCCCTTCATAGAATAATTAAATATTATGTACAGTACATATTTGTTTTAACTGTATAAACTGTTAATGAATTAACATTTAAAATATAATCAAATTATTGATGAAACTTGCATCTATTTAAAAATACGAATTTTACAAGACGTTAATAACATGTTAAATTAGATGATAATTTTCCTAGAGATTATTTTAACACGAATTTAGAAACTTTCTTCATCGAATGCTTCATTATAAATTCCTCCTTCACTTTGTGATGTTAACCTTCCATTATTTTGGGAAAATTCTTTAGTTAACTTCATCATTGCTTCGTAATCGCCCATTTCGTTTCCTTCCCAACGAATTGTACTTTTTCTTCTCATTTCATCGATGACTGATTTTTTCCTATTTTCAAGGACTTTAAACGTTCCTCTTCTTTCACTTAATTTTCTTAGATTTTTTAATAAGGGAGAAGCTAAAAACAATTACAGGAATTATTTTATTTAAGTCTAAGCAAACTGTCCACAAGTTTTAAATTTAAAATCATAAAAATTACAGTAAAACCTGCGTAAATCGGAATCAAACGATAACAAATATATTTTCCGGTTTGGCAGGTTTGGTTTCCGTTTTGAAGAGATTTTCTTTAAACGTAGAAAATCGCTCTCGTTTAGACAGTTTCCGTTTTATTCAGGTTTTGTTTTGGACAGGTTTTACTGTATTTAATTTTATAATAGTTTAAATATACGAGCCTTAGCATGCTATATAATCTTTATATTAGTATAAGAAATTTAATGTAATTGATTCTTTGATTTTATAATTTAATTTCATGGACAAAATGAAGCGAAAGTTCAATAAACAAACAGTCAAGTAAGCAAATCAATGATATAAGCTGTTTCATATGAAACTAACTACATCATTGGTTTGCTTAGTTAGCTGCTTGTTTCTTGAACTCATCCTTATATCTATTTTCATTCTAATATCATATCACTTTTCTAATGTAATATAAAACTTAACTAAACTCAACTTACTTTCTGGTTTCTCAGATGATATAATGGTCATCCTTTTCCAAAATGCTGCATCTAATGTTTTTATATTTTGTTTCTTGCTTTTTCTGTTTTCTAAAGCAATAATAGTGTCTCTCTTTGTAACGTCCCTCTGTTTGCTTTCTTCTTTTATTTCGGTTTCATCACCATTGATACCATGCAATTGAGCGATTTCTCGAGCAATCTGGACGCCATTTTTATCAACATATGCTTCATCGCTGATATTTTCAAATTTTTTCAAACAGAAGCGAAGTTCTTCAGATGCTAATATATGAGTCATTGTACCCAAACGATGAAAGAGCATTCCAATAAATTGGATTATTAAAATAATAGCGAAGAAACTAACAAATACAATACCAATTGGATCGATTTCTAAAGAATGTTCTTGTATTCTCACTTGCCTAGAACTTACAACGTAGGTAATAGTATATTTCATGCCAATTGGCCATTTTAAATGTAAATCTTTCTTGTTTACTTGAAGAAGAAATACAACTAATATAAATATAGAATTCATCATTAAAAATGTGAATACAACTTTATTTCGAAGTTCATTGAGCTCAGAAGTCACTTTTTCTTCGCGAGCCTTGTTTTGTTCAATTGGATAAAGATATTTTCGTATGAGTTCGAACCAAAATTGAATTTCTGATTTGTTTAAGTTTACAACATTACAATGCTTTAAATCCTTATCTTCTATCCAATATGGATTAATTAAATCGTCTCTTTTTTCACCTATTTAAATAATTATAAATTACTATTCGAAAAATAAAACAGTAAAAAAAATATTAAGAATCTTCTTACCATAACATTTCTTATCGACTTTGACATCGAAATTATCATTCTCTTCAACATTTGATTCGATATTTTCTTCAGTTTCAAACACATCATCATCGCCATCTCTTTCTTCTTCTTCTTCTTCTTCCTCTTCTTCTTTTAATGATGATAAAACTTTTCGACCAAGACTCGATTTTCTGCGAAAAGCTGGATTTCTTGCTCTTTCTAATTTTGTTTCCACGTTTAATAATTGCGTGTTTATATAATCAAGCTGATCTGATATCTTTATTAACTGATATTTTTCATCATTTACTTTTGGATAGGTGCAAAACATGCACTTAAAAAGATTTGATAGGCTGCAAGAGATGCCACCGTCTTCTTCTTGATTTTTGTTACCAAATCCAAAATTTGGAAGCCAACCAAAAGCTGATTTCTTTTTTATTTCTTTTATTTGAATGGCTTGTGCTTCGAGTTCAGTTTTTGTTTCCCTCTTTTTAATTTCTCTTGTACCCCAAGACACATTGTTTAAATTAATCAAAGAATATAAAATTAAAAAAAGATACATGGAAGGTACACTTAAAAAATACAAAACTCCATGAAAGAGGCAGAAGAATTCTTGAGGATGGAAAATGGCAGAGATAACAAAACTTGCAGTTAGTGCTATAAGGAAAATGGCTGAAGGAGAAGATGGTCCATCTTCCACTAGTTGAACTGCTGTTCCTACTAATACGGCCATCATCAGTAAAGCATATAATGCACTTAATATTTGAGCGACCAAAATCTATAAAATAGCAAATCGTATTTAAAATATCACTTATCTTACATTTTAATTTAAAAAAATGAAATAAAATTATATTACCTGAAAATCATTTTTCGTGAAGAAACATATAAGAATAAATAATGTTATAGGTATAAGGTTTGCTAGTAATGCTTCAATATTAGGAATCCTGAATGCTGCAACCATGGCACCAACTAACATAAGAAATATGGTACTAGGACCAAGAATACTTCCTATCATCAGCATTAGCTGATACATCATATAAGGTGTAGAAATGTTATTATTGATCGCAATTGTGTGCTTGTAACTAGCTAATAAATCCATAATGTTTGCCATTGTCGATGGTGCCCATCTTCGACGTTGGTTATAAAATTCTCCAAACCCTTCTGGACAATGAGTGTAAGCATCTGAAGCAGCACAATATTCGACTTTATAACCCCTTTGCAACAACAGAGTGCATAACCATCTGTCTTCGCCTAAATTACAAAATCGATATTAAAAATGTCAAAAATCTAAAGATTTTTAATAAAAGTTTTTTAATGTTCTACAACCTTGATCGTATTGAACATAATGCCTCGCTTCTTCCGACATGCTATTATATTTTCTCATCACATTATCATCCATAAGTGCTTTAGCTCGAAATAATGAGAAGCATCCAGGACTGCATAGAACACAACCTATCATATGTTCAGTTGCTTTTTGTAACCAATGACCAATAGCGTATTCAAACTTTTGATACCAGACCATAAGACCTTCAAAAATCAGAATTTAGTTATCTCTTTATCTAAAATAACGTTATGAAATTTTAAATTTACCTGATCCTACAGGATGGATTCTACCGCACGCAGCTCCAAGCACTGGATTCTTTTTCATTAAATCTACCAACAACTGAACGGCAAAGGGACGAAAGTTGATATCGCCATCAAGTGCTAGAATGTAAGTATTTTCGGCACGTTGACTCTTGCGATGTGAATCTATATTTAACTCCATAATGCCAGCACCCAATAAATAGTACATATACATAACCTGTTCGAAAAGTATAAATATAATTTTTAGTGTTTATAAATTCCAGAGAAAGTAGTGCACTCAAGTACATCAATCTACACGCGACTTAAATCAATAAACAGTATAAATATTCGTTAAAAAGCATGATTGTAATTTTAAAATCTTATTAGTATTATAGTGTTTAATTAATAAACGTTGATGATTTCGTATTGTACTATGCGCATTATATATAAATCAAAGTTATCGTTATATAAAAATGTAACATACTTGACTCCATCGTTTCTTATGTCGTATTTTTGATTTATCTTTCAAATGAACGATCAGTTTATTGCTTCCAGGCATCATCCAAACTAATCTCCCTCCGTAAGGAGTTGGAATTACTTTTGGTGGTAGTAACTGGACTTCACATTCATGTACCGTGCTACATAATATATAATATCGAATTATATAATTTCAAAACTTAAACTTATACAGAGAAATTAATAAATAAATAGATACAAGTGTATACAAATTAAAATATACAGGCTGTATGAAAATTCAGTCGTCTACATTTATGTATTTAAGATATAAACTGACGAAATTTTGCTATAGGTTAGGCCCACTTTAAACTATGAACATTCAAGTTTTTCTAGAAAAATGTTCAACATGGCTTCCACGAGTGATGTGGCATACATTTCGATCTATTCAATAGCCTTCATGCTTGTCAGATTTAATTAACACTCCTTGGTCGATCTGCCAAAGAAGAGTGCCTCCCAGAAGAATTTTCTACGATAAACTGACCCCTTATTTGTGTAGTAAATATTCAAAGAAAACTCAAAAAACACGCGCCCAGCTAATTGTCAGGCGTTAACCCATGACCTTCAGTAATTTTATCCACTCTAATCCGGCCACTGATAGGCACATTTAAGAAAAACTTGACAGTGCAAAACTTCAATATTGAAATTGCATCTTAATTTATATTCACCTGTATGCTCAGTTTTATAGTTTTTGATAGGCCTACTTACCTTGCAGCATTATCAATTTCTCTAATTAGCAATCGAACAAACTGATTAATAACCATATAATCTTCATTTTCTTCACTTTCTTCGAAAGCATCATCAAAAAATATATGAGCTACAAATTTAAAATGTGAATTAGACAAAAAAAATTTTATTAAAAATATATTTTAAAATTTGTAGAAATTAATATTTTATTTTTAAAAAATAATTTAATAATTTTTATTAATTATAATCTACCTTCAAATTCATAATAGTCGACATCACGTACTTGTAGAAATTTTATGGCATTTCTTCTCGCGCATTGATCTTCGTCCATTCTGAATAATTTAATATTTAATTACTCAAAAGTTTTTCTGATATTTTGTTTTCATTTATCTTAAAATTTTACCTGAATAAAGATTTTAACAATTGACTCATTTCGTCTTTGGTTTCATGCCACATAGTAGCACAAGCATATATCCTTGTAGTACTTTCAGTATTCACATCATTTATGTGATCATAATACGCATCAATTTCTACCGATTGATTTGGTGTTTCCTATTAATTAATAATTTTTTTTATAATAAATTACAGTAAAACTGTGCAAGTGGAAAAGTTTTGTGATCCTCTATTAAACTCTGAGACAAATTGTTAAATCACCTTTTTTCTCATTACCTCTCTGCCAGCAACAGTTACGTCGTCAGTAAGCATGTACTCAGGACATAATTGTTGCCAGAAAAAACCAATATGTATTTGAGCATTTTGCTTTATGGACGTTGTAAGATCGGTGTTATTTGTGCTCTCATAGTCCACAGAGAACGGCACGAGTACTGCATGAAATGAGTTCTAGTGTAAGAATAATCAGTGCTGTCAACACTTAAGCAAAATTTTCGTAATGGCCTCTTTTACCTGCCTTTACGGTTGGAAATATAGAACCAGTCCTAAGGCAAAAATCCTCTCGCACAATATGATGATCGGCGACGGAATTGTCGCAGGTCGCACTACCAATCCTGGTCATAATACAAAAATGTCGTTGCATTGTTGTAGCCAGCAGCGACCTCAGACTATAAAAAACATAGGGGGCACAAACTATAAAAACGAGCATCGTAAGTTACGCAACAAGCTTCAAACTCTACGATTCAAAATCGGATCAGAACGCTCACAAAGTGGCACTAATTGCACTCAAGCTAACATGGCCTTGGAAACAAGGATGTGTTTATTCAACATACGACGAATAAATAACTATATAAAAATAATTGCATGGGACAATGGGCAAATATCCTTTATTAGTTTCTTTTATATTTGCAGAATAGTTTAGAAGTAATGAATTTTTTGTTGTTTGTTGATCATGAAATTTTTGGATACTCTTGAGGATTAGGAAAAAAGAATAGGCAAGTGCCCCAATGTACGGGCACCCTGGTTGTAGCCTTCCACAACTCCAGAAACTGTTGAAACATAGTTTTGTTGCGTCTTCGCCTATGTACTCAAATGCATTTGAACTTAATGAATACATCATAACGACGAAAAATGTGCTTCAACGTCTGTACAATCTTAAAATACATTGAAAACAAAATGGATACATACCATCGCCTTATATTCTTGATCATCATCATCGTCATGCTTTCTTCTGTTTAACAGTAATGAATGATCCATAATAACGCCACAGTACATTGAATTAACAAATAACCTGTAAAAGTATACTAGTAAAACTTATCTTACATTAAGAATTTGCAACTAATTTTATACTTGACTTACTTTTCTGTAGATGCCAATCTTTCAGATTTTGGAGTCCAAACGTGTATTGTAATCCACATTTGAGATAAGAACCAAGCAATCCACAATGCTCCAAACACATTAATCACATAAAAATATAAATCATTTTTAGCACATGTCCAAAATGCATAATTGGATAGAAAATTCATATAACAACTGTTTATTAGTTTTTGCTTGCAGCTGAAAACGATCAGGAATAAGCACGTGGGTGTTGTTAAATATAATGGTAATGAGAAACCAAAACCTTGTATGCAGGTTCGACAAGCAAATTTGGCTGAGATATAACATAACCAGCAACTGAGTACGTGCAATACAGTGACATAAACAGGTAACATACCATCTGATGAAGCATACCTTTCTGATGAGGAAGAAATACTTGAAGAACTTGATATTAAATACGAATTATCTCCCGAATATATTGTTCTAGTAATGTTATTTTGTACATCTTCAAAGCCACTTTTAAATTTTGTAAATAAAGATTTTACGTCTATAGAATTTATACTACAAACAGTTAAAATGATGGCCAATGTTAAGACAATTTTCCACAATGAAATGAATAGAGAAATTAAATATTTGCATTTTCGTAAATCATTTTTTACATTCGCTAACGTTTGCATGCATTTAAATTGAGAATTTTTATTGACGAAATTTTCCCACCAATGAAATGAGGTTAAAAATAGTGCAAACGGCAGAATCCATTTATTTCCTTTTATTACTTCTGTTTGTTCTTTTGCAAAGAAAAATATTACAAGACCACTTCCTTGAGCAAAAATGCATATTAGATCAATAATAATTTTAACTGCAACTGTTTTTTCACTTTTATTGCGTGAAATTAACTGAAAAATCGACGGTAGAAAACACACACAACTAGCCAACATGGCAGCATGGATGACATAAAGATTGGGAAACACACCAAAAACTAACAGGGTAAGGCCCAAACAATGGAATGTTTCGAAGATGAATACCTGCAACATATGAAGAAAGAGTAAATAACTTATTAACTATCAGTTGTGCTATTTTATATTTAGAATATAATATTAATTGCTTAACAAGGGTGGATTGATCTAATGTAGATTTTAGCAACTGTTATAGGCTAATTATACTACGGAATCAATTTTCTTTGTGCTTCATTAATAGCATCAGGTAAGATTATTTGAAAATCTACATATGTACACAAAAAGTTGCTTTATTACATCATTGTTAAGTCACAGAACATGCTCTATGTGGGCATCACTTAACTAAATGTATAGAGCTGTAACCATACTTGATGTTAAGTGCACATACGCATCAGAAGTAGCCTATACTCCCTACGAAGCATTGTATACAGATTTTTTACTTGCCTTGTGAAATAATCTGTAAATTTACATTTATCAATCCACCACTATACTTGTGTATAAAATTAATTAAAAATAGAGCATACTATTAAGATGGTAGCTTTTAGTTTAGGTTTATAAATCGATTTAAATATGCATATTCTGATGCTTCTGATAAGAACGAAGACATCCGGAATGACCAAGACGAAATAAAGGCACCATATCCAACCTCTGCTTTCATTTTCGTCGATTTCCACTTGAAATTCTTTACCACTTTCATCATCTAAAATTTTAAAATAATTAAAGAAGAGTAAGAGTTCTGTAAGTAATTTCATGTATAAATTTATTATACTATTTATTTACCTGCTATACACGTTGAGAATTTTTGTTTTGGACGGACCATTGACGTCATTAATAACAATGTACTTTTAGCTAAAATGGACGTCACTAACACAATTACGAATGTTACTATATAGGAAATAAATTTTAAGACTTTTGTACAATATTTAAGAAATTTGGATATTTCTGTTTGATCTTCTTCTTCGTGTGGAAGTAATCCGAAAACATCCCACTTTTTAATTTCTTCATTTGTATTATAACTAGAATAAAACATCCCATTATTTTATTAATATTCACTTCTACTACAGAATGTATTAACATATTATAAGAGATTAATGGTGGTATGAAGTTGTCAAGCCTCATACCACCATCCGGCCTCAGGCGGCATTTTTTTTTTCTAATAAATCGTTCTTAAAAACTACTGTATCTTGAATATTTTATCACAAAAAAGGTTGGAAAGGAGCAAGAGGACATAAATTGTAAAGGGCAACATACTGTATAAGTTTTTGTACTATTTTTAATTTCATTTACAGTGGCAAGTTGCAAAACTTGCCTCGCTATTATTATTTTTCACTATATGGCATTGTATCCAGCACTGGGATGCATACATCAGCATCCCCAAATTTAGGAGAAGAAACTGACCAAGTTTAATTCTGCATATTTATTAATTAAAATGCCTCAATGTCCTTTTTCTTATTAAAATATAAATTTTCGTCTATAATTTCACATCTTCTATTAAAGCCAGTATAATAAGTCCTGATAATAGAAGATATGAAATTATAGAGGAAAATTTATATTTTAACTGCATATTTATTGTTCATCTTCAAGGATAACTAGTTGATAAAGGATAAGAGAAGGTAACTTAACCGCTTCAACAGACAGATAATAGGCATTGAATAAACCTTGATTTGTTTAGTTAAGTTATGGCAAGACCACTTGAGCGTGGGTGCCTTCAGGTCCCAATGCCTTCAGGGAGGTCTTTTTAAGGGTAACTGGCCCATATTTAGGCGTTACAGACGTGGAGAAAACCCGGAAAACGCCACATGGCCAGGACCTCCTGGCGAGGCGCGAACCCACGACCGAACTCCTAACGAAACCGTATGGTCACTGGTGGGCCGAATAGACCTTGAAGTTTTGTTATTACTAGTTGTAATCTTTATAAGAGAATATGTACCTGTTCCTTCATCAGAACATTTGATAACGGATAAAGAGATTTTGGGAACCAGTTTTGTGTAAAACTGGTCCTCCGTTCAAGAGTTACTAACGTAAAGAAAACCCAGAAAACTTCACGTGGCAAGCCCGTTAGACCTTCGACCAATTGCCAGTGTTCAGTGGTTTTATCCACTTGGTCACTGCTGGGCTCGGGTGTTTTATTGTAACGATTTTATAAAACTACACATAAGAACGAATGAATAAAAATTGCTTACTGTTCTGAATTCTGAATTAATGGACGAGTTTCAATCATCATGTTTTCTTCATCTTCCATCTTGGTTAACCTTTAAAAAACAATAATTACAGAAATTATGTATATAAATACACGTAAAGACTAATCGATGATGATTAAAACGACTACTCAAATAAGATTTTTAAAGATTAATTTAATTTAATCTTTCGAAAATTTAGTTAATGGAGTTTATGTATCTTTAAAATTTTCATTGCTTATTTATTTACGGCTACATGCTACGGCATCAGTTTGCCCCCAGAGGAGTATTTAGGGTATACGCAACTGCAGCTGCACTCCCTTCTCAGGGTTTTTCCCGAGTAAAACTGGGTACCTAAAGTAATAAAAAAAATTTTTAAAGCATACAGTAGTCTATTGTTTTCATTGATTCCTTTGAAGATTTCTGAATTTGCTATTAGTTTGTCCGTACGGAAGATTTGGATTCGAAATAATTCTATATCTTCATGGATAGTTCGGATCGAGATATCGTTCCGTGTAAGCAGACCTTATTGTAAATCTGATCTACCTCAAATCTTCTACTATTATGTGTTAAATCTTTGACGAAACCGCGGAAAACTCCCGTGGCAGTCCGTTGGCGAGGCACGAACCCACGACCAACTACCAGTGATCAATGGTTTTATTCACTTGGTACTGGAACCAGAAAGCTACAGATTGATACATTAACTATTTTCTCCATCTAGTCAGTTAGTGGACCAGCTAAGATGAATAAAAATACAATACAATATGTCAAAATGAATAGTTTAATTTAGAATAAGACCATCATTGAAATTGATTCCTCACTTCATTCAGTTGGATGTTAAGTCTACACGATCAAATTTCTTGAATGTATAACTTGTATTGAAGCTACTTTGATAACGTAAACCAGACAATTTGTCCTTACCTCTATTATAAGCTTTAAAGGATATGGAAAGAAAGGCCCTCTTAGTGTTCTCAGAATGGAAGAAGTTGGGATTAGCAAAAAACTAGTTTAATACATTTAATTTTTTTAAATTAAAGTTTTTCATTTCTATAAATGTGAGATTTCCATGTTGAATAATCCTTAATGACTAAACATTCGTAGAATTAGTTATTTTATTAAATTTGTCATTAAGTTTATATATTTTATGATAAGGTTAATTGTCTAACATATTTCATTGCTTAGATAATATTTAATCTCGCTTTCCAACGCTTCTTACACTTTTACATGATAAATGGTTTATCACTCATAAAGCGGAGAGCTAGCAGGACTATGGTTTAGATGCTGAATATAGAGGGGTTCCACAATTAGTATTTTATGAAAATGGTGTAAAGTTTCTTTTCATAAGCAAAAATAGAATATTTTTACGATAAAACAGTAGAATATATTTACTATTGTTTTATCGAGGGAAGTGAGATGAGTTCTAACATTTGTTCCTAGCTTTATCTCACTTCTTTCAAACTAGATAAACCTACACGTTTTTCGACATAAGTTTATTTATATGTTTTACATATTTTTTTATTAGTATTTACATTTCATTTATAACATATGTAAATAGAACAGATCCTTAATAATTTCATAATGTGCTTTTTATGATATGTGTAAGTTAGTTAAAAAAAGGCTAAATATTCAATAAGATTTTGCTATGTAAGCAGTTATAATAAACGATATTATGCAACAAAATACAGATATTTTCATGTAAATTGTAATAAGTATTAAGTGGTTAGTTAATTTATTATTGTTTATACAAGATAATATTAGGCTAAACAGCACTAGGAATCGAAAAAAAGAAAATAAAGACATGAAAAGTGAACCGTTTAATGATAAACAACAAATAAACAGTTGCAGGTGTATGAAGCCTACACATCTGGTTGGAGTCAGTAATTGTAAAGCTGACAGAAAGTGCTGTTCGTCAGTTATTAAATGGACGTGTATCATTACTAATGATTTTTAAAATTAGTCTACAAAACACTATTGAAAGTCTTATAATTGAACACTGGCAATTGAAGTGAATTTGCCCTCGTCAACGGATTGTCCGGCTGTTTGGATCTTTCTGGTTTGGTTCACGCGTGAATTTTCCCGGAGTTACTTCGCTATTGGCACATCGCCCAAGTGTTGCATTGCCTTATTCCATCAATTCAATTGAATCCTTCGTAATGTACTGTACTTAAGATACTTAAGACAAGTCAGGCAAAGTCGAACAAAAGGCAGGGAAGAAGATGGGATGAGATTTAGCGGACGTCCTCCCCTTCCCTTCGTCCGACTTGTCTTAGCCATTACACTAAATTTTATACAGTTTATTATACTTATTTCAAAAATTCTTGTATATTTCATTTCTACTTATGGTATCTATCATTCATAAAGTGATAAAGGTTTTGTTAAATTTCCGAAGAGGGGAAGGGCTACGGAAACTTGGACAGATTTGGGACGAGTGGGGGGCGAGTAAAAATTTCAAGAAAAATGCGGACATAATTTATGGGCAGCCCCATAATGTTCGAGCATATCCTAACTCTATGTGAATTGATTATAACAATTCGTGTCTTTGAGGACGACTAAAAGGCTGGAGACAAACTGGAGCAATGATCCATCGAATCCGTCCTCGCATTCTTTACAGACAGAAATCACTAAATTCACCCAAAAATCGAAATTTTTAATATTAAATTGAGTCGCTACGCAACAATAAAATTTCCTTGTTGTTGAGAGAGGATCTATTGTTGACTCGTGCGATTATTTAATGCGAGTGTTTTTCGAGTTTTGCTTCATTTGCAACGATTGTTTAAGTAATGTAAGTTTAGATTACGATCTTTCTAGATTTAAATACTTTTCAACTTTGATAAACAAAATATCACAATTAGCGGCGGTGGTTTTAAATAACAATTGATCCTTTTCCTTCAGAGGAATCGTTAATTTGTTAATTTTCCAATGAAATTGTTAAAGCAATTAAAATAGGAATATTTCTTAATTAATGCAATTCTGTTTTCACAACAGTCGCTCATTTTTCTTTGCAGAATGGACAATTTTAAAGAATTGAAGAGGTGGAACACCACCGAGCCCGAGGATGGCGCTTCGTCTTCGCTTAGTGTAATACGGTGCTTCCGAAAGATGCGGTGGATGAGTCGCATACACCCGACGTCACACGGGTGGTCGTCATAACTCCGGATGATACCGCCTCGTCTCTCGTCCATTATCTAGAGCAGCGATACCCCGAAGTTCCGGAATGGACGGTGGAGTCACGGTCAGATGAGACGGGACTGCACAGAATGGAGTCTGAAGAAATCGTAGAAGAATCCGTCGAGCGTAAAAGGTCTTGGTGGAAAAGGTTGTTTTGCTTCTGGAAAACATAACCTTTTTTCTGCCGAGGCCTTCTTGCACGGATTTCGACTTTCCACCGAATGTAACAAAGCCACCCGGAAGTGACCTTTTATCAGAATATGACACTTTCACCCGGCTACGACTTAATAAACTGGACTTGACTTTTCATCTCGATTTACGGACGGATACTTCGACACCATTCAAGATTCGTTCTTCCACTTCGGTTAAAGTACATAGAACAACGACAGTGACGTCTATCGTGGCCAAAGTGACAACGAAGTATTAAACAGTGTTCTTGTGTTAATTTAAAGACTGTGTTTAAACGACTATAACTGATCGAAGCAACTTATATACTACTAATAGGCCTAAACAGACTTTATTTCAACCGATGTTCTACTAGAAAATAACGGATATTGGTCACTAGAATGCACTAAACGTTGAACTTTAACCAAAAACACATCTTGCTGTCAATATATGTTCAAAAAAGAATTATAATTACTTCATCAATTCAAATTGTACACGAAATTTTCATGATTGTACTGTACATAAATTTTAGGCTAACTGTTTAAAGATTCCATATATATCAAAGGTGAGCATTTTTACATTAATTTAAAATTGTGTTTAGGCACGTAAAAAGAAAGTTTCGTTGCTGAAATTTTTACATGTTTATTATGCTTTTAAATCTTACAAATCTAACTTGTAGGCCTATATCAACTGTGGAACGTGTGTTGTGGCCAAAACAAAGATAAAATGCGTATAAATTAAAAATTATGTTTACAAATATTACAAGGTGACAAGAATCGAATCTCAAATACAGTATTAAAAAAAATAAAAAGTAATGAAGAATTACATTTAAAAAATTTCAAAATTTATTGTTGTAAGATTAACACTAACGTGTAAAATGTTACTCGTATAAATTAACCTATAAAGCAAAGTCTACTCGCACAGCCACAAGCTGACATGTAGACAGGCAGATTTCTACACGTCCACTCAAATTGATAAACATGCCTATTATAGAGAGCAAAATAAAAATATATCGTATTTACTCTAATGTCAAGTGCACTTTTCAGGTTTTAGTACGTCATAATTTGAATTCTCAAGTGCCACGAGTCTTATGGTCTGTCACTAACTGGATTGCATCATTTTAATGATTTTTATTAAGCCAATATTCATAACAGCAAATATTTAATAAATAATCTGCACCATCTGTTATGAGATTTTATTATTAAAAATATTTTATACTATTATTATAAAAAGACAAGCACTTAATTTATTAAATGCTTGTCTTTAATAATGTTTCCCGTAGCTAAAAAAATTTCTTAGAAAACGGACACTTCGATAAATTTAGATATCAATATGATATTTACCTATATACCTATATTATACCATTTCACACCAAAATTTTACGCGTATCGCACGCGACGTGCTCCATACTTTCAGAAAATAGCTTTTACACTTTAAACGAATATTTTCACATCGCCTACATCGTTGTATACTCTTTATAATACATGCCAAGCTAGATATGCTTTTGCCCAATAAAAATTACAAAACATGGCACAATAGATACTCGACTGGCTTTGCATTTGTAAAAAGATATCTTGAACTTTATATTGTATAAGTTATATTAATATTTGTTTTGAGTAGTTCGTATGCTATGCGAATCGAAATTATGCGAAAAAAAATGAAATTGAGTAGCATATGAACCATTCAAAAAGTAAATAATTTTTTTAATATGCGCGTGTATCGATCGATGCAATTAGTTTTAG